GAAATCCAGGCATTTCTGAATCATTTGAAATTGATTGAGACCTTTGGTTCCAAAATGACCATTCACCTGAAGCGGCTGTGATTCACTTCTTAGAGGAGGTGATGTGCTGTCGCAGTATCTAAGACATTCCTCTCATAGCTCCCTTCATCTTAAAATAACCTCTAACCTACCCTGTCCTTTGTGAAGGACCCACGCCACTCAGGAGCTAAGTGATGAACCAGGGAGGTTGGCCCTCATTGTCTGGACAACAGCATTTCACATCTAAGCTAGTTTGATCCAGGCAACTTCCATTTTGTGGGTTTCACCAACATTTGTTCATGATTATTATTATTATTTTCCATGATCCTTCAAAATAGTTTCCCCAGTCCTCACAGGAAAGCAACACCTGTAGGGGCATGGCCTTCCTTTAACAGCTATACCACTTCCTTTTAAAAAGGAAATTTGGAGAATATAATGTTGCTTGGAACAAGTACTAGGATTTAGCAAAGCACTCTGTTTTATCTCTTCGAATATTGATTGTATGTCATTCCCCTAAGGTATTAAACAAATAAAATCAAGCTACATCATATTCGTTTGCTCTAGGAGAAAGGAATGGTAATTTCATTTTTGTGAATTTTACATCAGGGAATTCTCTACTGCATGGATTTATCTGATACTGAATTGCTAAAATGAATGACTCCCTCTTCATTTACTCTTTTTCATGAGTCTGTTGCCTCCTAACAAGTTGGGTGCAGGCCAGCTCATCTCATTTTGTTGCTGGTCACCAAGATCCTGCTTTGGGTTAGAACAAAAAGGCAGCAGGAAGCATGTTGAGGCCGCCCAGGAAAGCTGATGGGAACAGCAGTGCTGCCGAGAGCAGCTCTTGCTGGTCGGGTACCTGCAGTCTGGCGGGCGTCTCAGTCATCAGCAAGCACCAGATGCCCCAGGATGCAGAATCACGGCAACTCATATTTTGCATAGTTGACACATTTTTCTTGTTTTCCAAGTCCTCTTGGAGCACGAATGGAAGGAGAATTAGGCAAAACTTAAAACTCTAAATCAGGTTTCTCAACTGCAGAACAATTAACATTTTGGATCAGATGATTTCTCTATTGCCAGACTCTCCTGTGCACTGTAGGATGTTTAGCAGCATCCCTGGCTCTGCCCACTGGATGCCGGGGATGTTACCTCCCTCCTGGTTGTGACAACCAAAAACATCTTCAAACATTGCCAAATGTCCCCTGGGGAGCAAAATCACCCCAGCTGAGAACCACCACTCTAGCATGAAGAGTAACAGTTTACTTACTGGGTTTCCCCCCTTCATCTTCTTTCTCTAATTGTTTTAGTTTTAGCATCTGGGTTCCCTCAGTTCAGACAACAGCATCTTCAAATGTTCTAAAAACAATGTGCTCTTACGTAGCACAAGGCTTTGCAGGGTACTCCGGTAGTTCTTAGAGAAATGTGAGGCTTAGGAATGGAGCTGTGGATTAACCATTTCTGATCTTGTTGTTTTCAATGAATTTTTGAGGAATTTTACTGTTTCCCTCTCCCTCTCTATGTAGAACGATTCATTCACTGATTTAACTTAAAAGCAAAACAGGTTCCCAGTTTAATTTTGAATGTGAAATGCTGATCCCTCTTTGTCCCAAATCTTTCTACCTAACATTCAGCCCAAGCTATGTGCAGTCTGTCCAGGAACAGGCAGCGTTTGCCAATCCTGTATTCGCTTTAAACCATTTGATGAAACTCTTAGTCACAAACTCCCGCAGTGGCACTGCAGCAGATGCCACTCTGGATCCTGCCCACGGTCGTGGATTCCCAGCTGCCTCTGGAGGGAGTCACCAATTGCCACCAGGCCAGGTTTTCCTGCTTGAGCCCAGAATAACACGGCAGCTGCTGAGAACACCTCGAGTCCCTTTGATTTCTTTCCATAGTCACGTTTTGTGTTCAATTTCCCAGACGGGATGAACCAGAAATCATGCTTCTTTGGGAACAGATTTTTCATAGCAAGGGACTAAAACAGCCTGACTCGTCAGCAGCCTGGTCTGTGCCTCTGAACCCCCAGGCTGTGTCATTTCAGCTGAATCAGAGGACAACTTCACAGTCACCTGCTTGTGGTGTTCACCTCTCCTGGCTTGTGTTTTTGACTGAATCACAGCTATCCCCGAGCAGCAGCCATGAAAAATGTGCCCCCTTTCTAGGCCTGTCTCCTTGCTCCATGAGTAGTAAGGAAAGAGACCAATTAATAGCCTGGCTGAAAGCTGAAGGACATACGGTTTGCTTGAGAAGAAAAGTGAACATTCTTGCTTCTTTATCTATGCCAACTTTGTGTGGGGACAGCTGCCTCCTCGGCACACACCACTACAGGGTTAGCTGTGCCCCTAAGGTATGTGTCACCACAAGCCACAGGCCGACACACGAACGCTGGCCTCTCCTCATTCTTACAACTGAGCTCTTATCCTTAAACGAACTTTGCTTTTTGACCAGCTCCCTAATTGTGATGGAAAACACCAGCTCCCCAGCAATGCGCAGGCATCAGAGTTAGCAGCAGCAAGACAGGCCCTAATTGCTCCATTTACATAAAAGTAGAAACATACAACTTCTAAATATAAATCTCTGGCACATCGTTCCTTTTGCAATTACAGTAAAATAAGGTCCCCCAGTTTCCCTCCCGCTTCTCCTCGCAGCAAGCTGCTCGCCGGCTTGGCTAGTGGCTGCTCGGCGCGCCCTCCGAGCCAGGAGCCGGTGACCCCGCCGCCCCCCAGGGGGCCGCTCTGCGAATCCAGGGCTGTGCGACCCCCCGCGGCCAGAGGGGGCAGCCGCGAGTGCGGGGGCTGCAGCGCGACCCCCGCGGCCAGAGGGGGCAGCCGTGGGCGCGGGGGCTGCAGCGCGACCCCCGCGGTCAGGGTGCAACGCGGGGCACGGCGCTCCGTCCCCGGCAGCCCGCCGCCGCTGCGGGTCCCGGCCCCTAAGGTGGCAGGGGGGCTTCGGTCCCAGGCTCCCCGGGCTGGGTTCAGAGATTCCCAGCGGCACTCACTGAACAGTGAATTTTTTTTTTTTCCCTCCCCGAATTCTTTAGCTGCCAAAAGGGGGGAAAAATCAAGAGCTGCTCTTAAAAGAAGTTGCCCTTGCTGGTGGAGCTCAGGGACAGCCAGCGGCGCCGCTCACGACTGCTGGGCGCGAGCCGCGGCCGCGTCCGGCGTGATCCCCGGGAGCTGCCAGCAGGTGCTGCTCAAGGTACAGTAGCGGGGCCGAGGAGCCGGGCCCAGGGCTGGGGGCGGGGAGGCGCGGCCAGGGCGCAGGAAGTGAAAGAGAAACCAAAGCGACGAGCTGGGCTGACCAGCTCGTGCCCCGAGCCCCTGAGTTCAGCAGGGAAGAGCGAATTCCCAGTCCAGAGTACTCCAGAAGAGCTATTTTAACCCGCCTGCTTCCTCTTCCACCCCCACTGCGATTTCCACTGAGTGAAGAGGCATTTCCACTGTGGTTCAGGATCCGTGCAGATAATTATGTCATCGCTGGTAGGCTGGCCCGGCAGGTGGGCACTTCGGGGGACATCAGATGGCCAGCGTGGTCTCAGAGTCACACATGTGGGCTGGCTCCTCTAGGCAGGGTGCTGCAGATTCCTGTGACATAAATATTTAAAAAGAGCCACCAAGGCTTCTCAGAAACAATATCACCTATTATTTTCTGACCACTGCGCTTGACCCTGCAGTTTAGGATCAGGAATCCCATTTTAGAGATGGGAACACTGAGGCCTGAGTTTACATGGTGAATAAATAGGGATGTGATTTGGCTATGTTTTGTGCCGACACCCTACTGTGGGGACATGGTGGTATATTTCAGGACACCAAGGTTCATGTGTGGAGCAAGGGGTGAGTTGAGATGCCCTGAAGGTCATTGCTCTCCACTTGTTCTCATCAACAAGAGCACAGAAGTTTCTTTCTTATAAGGGGTTCGAGTCCATCCATTTCTAAGCTGAAGGGCAGGTGTGAGACTGTCCCTTACTGATCCTATCTCTGTCTTTGCCACTCAGATTATCCCTCTCTCCCTGTACAACCTGATGATTTTATTTCATACTTCATTTCTACATATGCAGTTCTTTGCATACTCCTTTCTCCCCTCCCCCACATGCAACTCAGCACCCACACTTTCTCTATATCTAGCCAGGAGAGACCTCCTTACACAGAAATCTTCTGGTGTCTTACAAGAACCTGCTTAAACCACACATCAGGAGGCCAGAGCCTCTATATTTTGCTTGTGGGCACAGTGAAAAGTTTATTTTATGCATGTTAAACCCTGCATACAAAACAATGTATCTGGTCATATGGCTTTCATTAGCTCCCAATTTTGCACATTTTATCCAACTTGTCATGAGAACCTGGCATATGCTTCAGCTATACTCCTTCAAACATCCCTTCTCCATCCTTCTTGTCTGAGGAGTCCTTCCTCCTGTGTTGTTTCCCAGACTCGCCAGCACCCCTCGACCCAAAAAACCTGACCAACTTTACCCCTGTTGCAAGGACTGTTCACTTCTTTCCATTAATTTGACATTATATTTGTAATAATTTAGAAATCATAGGGCTTGAGGTTCTAATACAGAAGAATGATGAATGAGATTTTTATTCTTTTATTTTTTAAATTTATTTTTTGCTTGTTAGAATGCAGTTTTAAAGACCTGGGAAGGATACTTAGGAAGTTCACTTGCAGAGAATGACTTTTTCCAAAGTTCTTAGTGATAAATGATTTATGAAGCAGGCATTCAATTTCAAGATGTAAACTAATAGTGTAAGTCAGGGGAGGGGAGACCACATCACGTGGGCTTACCTATTTTCCTATTTTTTTCCTCAATGAAATAACTTACTTAAAAAAAGTAAAATTAGAATCCCTATAAAGAACACTATGAATTTTCTTCTCTGTAAGAAACACTAAAATACTTTGTAAATAGTGGCAACATCATGAACTAACAGATGTTTTATGTAAAGACATAAAACCGAACCTGAGTATAACGAGACGTGTGTGTGAGTAGTAAAAGAAACGTTGAAAGTTGGACAGTCATTGAGACATATCTGTTTGATTCCAGTATTTTTCTAAAAGGTAGACTAGTCACAACCAGAGGTTTCAGTGGCTCAGCGCATCAGTTGTCTCAGAAGCCAAGAAAGGCTTTCCATTAGATAATGAATTATGAAATGTCTCACACTGGAAAAACCAGTCATCCGCTGATGTCATGCTGATTCTAACCAATCCCAAACAAAGCCCTGAGTGGTACCAATGTGCGAGTGTACAAATAAATAGTACAGTATAAAACTTCGCAGTGCCAATGCCGTGAAGAGGAACTCAGACAGCTCTGACCACATGATACAAGAGCCGGCTGCTGACAGAGAGAGGACCGGAAAGGTAATGCTTTTTAACTCTTGCTTATGAGCTCTCTGCACATTCAAAGTCAGAATGGCTAGAAGGAATTTTACAACTTATTGGCACTCTCATGCACATTGTGATTTGTACCTTTTTATATTTTTCAAGCAGGTTAATACAGGTTTAATATTATTCAGGCAGCTTTTAATAGTCCTAGAGCATGCAAATAGATTGTGTTTATACAACCCACTCAGCACATATATACAAGTACATATGCCAAAAAGAAAGCTATTTTTAAGAGTTCCATTGGCAAACAGTAAATTTAGGGAACATACTCACATGCAGAGAGAATGCAAATATTGATAAGTTGCAGTTATGTAAATGCTACTATTAGGACTCAGTTGTTTGGAGTCATTAAACTTTTAGTTCTATTTCAGACTGTCTTGTGAAACTTAATTGGACTACAAAATGCTTTGGGTACTGTGTATGTGACTCCAAATAGGTGGGTGATGTTAAGTATTATGGTACAAAGATGTTTCATCAAACCATTATAACACAAATGCCTCAGCTTCTCCCGTTCTCTTTTACCATCCCCCATTCAAAAAATGAGGCTTTTTAAGCAATGTTGACAAAGCTGTAACAATAATAGCAGAGTAATTGATGTCCTTGGACCTGAAACCCCAGAGGTTGCAACAGAGAAAGTCTCGCAAGTAGTTGTTTTGGGAAAAGGGACTGTGTACCCAATTCAGGAAGGCATTGCTGCCCGTGTGAACTGTAACTTCAACTTGGTATCAGGATTTTCTCACCCTCTTCCTCTCGCACTCGGATATTATGCTTATAGTAACGATCTGTATTAACCCTTTCCACCCAAACTGCATTGCTCGGCTGTCATGATCTGAACACACTAGGTGTCAGATATAAGCCAACTGGATCTTCAGAAACCACGAGGGCTTATGTGTGGGAAACAAACCGAGAGGGAAGCAAAGCTTTAACAGATGGACCCCTTAAAGATACTTCTGCAAGATAAAAGCAATAAGACAGAAAATGCAAAAAAAAAAAAAGGGGGGGGGGGGCCTCAGAAAGGCATTGTTTAAAAATTCATTTTTTCTTTTTCTGTGAACACTAAAATCCATGATGATTTCATCCGTGCAGTTTCTTTGAGGGAAGAGACAGCAGTCAGATGCGCTGGTCACCCAGGATGGGGCACGCTGAAAAAGGACCCCATGCCAGAGAAAAATACCTGGCCGGTGTAGTTCAGAGATTCTGTTCCCATAGGATCAGTTACTCGGGTCCTGAGAGTGCACTCTTTTTATAAAAGAATGTGGGCAAGGCCAAGTGAATTTTGCATTTTATCAGTGCAGGGCGGCCGGGCGGCGGGGACTGTGTCTGTGTGTCCGGGCAGAAGGGGCGCTGCGCCCAGGGCGAGCGTCGCCGCCGGGGTCGCGGGCTCCTGCCGTGTCGCCCGCCCTTTGGGTCTTCCGGTGCCCCGCTGCATGTCGCGGTTGGGAAAAGCGGAGTGTACTATAGGACCCCCCAAAAGTTGTGCGGCGCCCGCCCGTGCTGGCGACCTGCGCATTTCCATATGAATGAATGGGGGCGGGTGGCCCGGCCCGGCTGCCCCCCACGGCCTGCGCCGCCCACCCCAGGGCCGCGGGGCGTCTCGTCACCCAGGGCTGGGGCCAGGCAGGGGGATGCACGGGG